ATTTGGCGGTTGGGAATGGTCCAAGTCTTGCCGTTCTTCATCGTGCATTTCGATACCACCCTTCTACAAAACGACTTCCGGGGATATTGTCATCCGAGTCACTGTACGAAGATTTAAAACAAGGCGCTTGACAGCCAATGGGTATACTGCTTGGTCGCTCCCAGCTGCGGCCGCCACACTTGCACCGGGTTGCCGACCAGTAGTCTATGCGTATTCCGAGATATGGCCTAGAACTCCGTATTCCCTCATAGTGCTCCGAGCTGACGATATCGCCGCAGAGCCGCCACGTGATGGTATAAGTAGTATGAATGTGAGGACCGGTGATCTGAGCCTCCAGGTCGCATGATCAACGTCAGCATCTAATTCACGGGAGTGGATCTTTAGAGATACGACAAGGGCGACTACTGTGTAACTATAGAAACTGATCCCCTGCGACACTATGTATGATCGTCCGCCCAGGGAAAATCTACCATAGTATCAAGGTCCGAGTACGATATCACTGCCCTTCTCATGTTCGTTCCCGTCGTGATTATAACTACCTGGGCGAGATAAAAAGGACATTCCACGCCAATCCGCCATGGCGATACTCTGCTGGTCGCTGCATTGCTATGTCACATGGACTGTGATGTTCATTGCAGATGTAAGTGAAACAAGAAAATGCCGAGTACCCGACAGCCAAGCCGAGACAAATGAATCAAGGAAAATCTCTAGCTGCATTGGAGGGAACCAAAAATCGAATGTCTGGTGTTGGCTGTCTCATGATGGTAACCATGGTCGTGTGCTCACCTTCTCCATTTAGTCAAGATACGTCGAATGCTAAAGTGCTTGTAGCCTACGGTTGTCAAAATTATCAGCGGCGTCAACTACCGGTACTCTAACGTAAAGTGATTGAGCGATGGGCCGCAAGAACGCTAGGTTTGGATGCCAAGAGCGCCCGTCAAGATCGTTGTGGGGATTGGAAGATTCTCCTGCATCTTCGTTCCTTGGAAACGGCTACGCGGCAGTGAAACACAGTACGAAGCGATTAGAATTGATACTGACTGCCTACCTGAGTTGAGTTGAGTTAGAGGGACCGGACTAGGATGTGCGGGAATAACGGGCAACGCGCGGAGACCGCCAAGAGCAATAATACGGCTCTCCGAGCTCGCCAATTACAGTACTTCCCGGGCACAAACTCCTCTTTTCGGCGCTAGGAGGAGCTTAATGATGATTCTAATGAAAGACCCAGTATACCTTTCTTACGGGAAATGGTACCGCAGTAGACCTCGTAGATAACTCGAAAATAATTAGTCCCTAAATCATGGTAGCCAGGTCTTCGGAGCCATGCTATGGGATCGTGTAGACAGGACGTCCATCGCTTTGGCAACATTGACTCTTCCATCCACTGGCAAAAACACTTATCAGTCCAAAGAATATGCTCGCTACCCAGGGTCTAATGTGGCGTTTCCTCAGGTAAGACCCACAAATCTCCTGACCTCACATCGCTTCTCCTTTTCACTGCGAAATAAGCCCTCCGCATGCGTGTTACCGAGGCTGTGTAAGTGGAGATCTACCCTTTGGGAATCAGAACCAGAGGCTCAACTCGTAATGAACACGACATGAACGCTTGAACATTCGGCACTAGCACCTATGCAACACCAAATTCCCTACCGCCAAGTGGAGAAAGTTCACGGGCTGTTCTGCGAGTAATGATTGTCACACCTGCCAAGATGCCGCAACGTTTCCAGCGTTCTTACCGTACTGAAAGTTCGTGATTGAAACATGTCATGAATCAAGGAAGTTCTCTATAATGATTACTGAGTAGATGGTTGTCGTCTCATACACCTATTGCTTCTAGTGGGGCAAGGTCCCCGTTTCTAGCTGACCACTACCTACCAATCGTCCTTGATCAGCTCCGATGCCCTTTCAGCAAGAGCGTACAGAGTGGCTGTAGGATGCCCGCTCATTTGGACTGGTATGATGAAGGCATCCACAATGCGAACGTTTCGCGTCCCGTAGACTCTTACCTTTGGATCGACCACTCCACCTAATTCCCGTGGCATCATCACACAAGTCCCAATGGCATGCCAAACCGTTGACACTACATCGCATCAGTACTATTGATTTGGCCGAGAGGTTGGGTCACTCACCTGTTTTTCGTATGTAGGAGGTCCATTCGGCATCCGTTGCGTTTCGAGGCAAGCTTGCATCTGCGGAGCTGTCGATCAAGTCACTCAGAGGCTTTGTGTGCCACAGCTTTGACGACAAACGTCCAGCGCGAACCAGGACATTCAGGTCAAATTCCGCAGATAGGTAGGTACCTGGTGTTTATCACTGGCGTTTTAATTGCTTCCGCTGTTTCAAGATGGACACTGCCCAAGGAAAATGGCACGAGATTCTAGAACGCTAAACTAATGGTAGTCCCGATTACCGGTATGATGGATTCCGAGATCGTAACGTTCTTGTTGAATAAAAAGTCATGCTGGATACGGAACCTAGCCTCGGGTGCCTCAGTGTTGATGGCGCCATTACTTGCGGCTGATGTTGCCCGAGCCAAAATAGACAGATTTGTTGTGGTGGATGCCGCGACGGCTGTGGTCTCATCGCCAAACAGATCTTGAGCTGTAGCAAAAGCCGCGTAGGGACGAAGTTGCCCCGTAAAGTCCGTAGGACTAGTATATGAATTGCCACAAAATTCCTAGTCTTGCATTGACTCTCCAACACCTGGTAAGTCGACCTTGGTTTCGATGCTAAGAGAATCAAGTATGTCAACTCTATGCTACTCTAGCCACGGTGATCACCCACTTAGATTTACCAACACCAGAAGACTCCAGTATCAGGGGACTTCGCCAAGATCCAGTAGACAAGACGACTTCCTTTGACACTTTGATGCTGACTGGAGCCCCTGAAGGATCTAGGTATTCCACGCCATCTGCAACAACAACTTGGTAATCATGATCTTTCCACATGAGTCTTCTGACGGTTTCCTTGATTATCTTAAGGTTCGCCCTGTTTTCGACTGGGTAATAGTACGCACGCGCAGCATGTTCCCGAGAATTCGCATCCTGGTCGAGAGTTTCTGGGTGAACAGTGAAGCCACGGGTATGTCCAACGTCGACGTCTGAGTTATGCAGGATTCCCCAAGCTTCCCATGTCTGGCGAAAAGTATTGAAGGAGGGCCCGGCTCGTCAGAGCGGACGGAAATCCAGTTTTCAAGAATCCGAGTTCGCCATGGTAATCCCCTTCATATGCCGCACCTGCTGCGGTTTGCACCCCGGTTGGGAGCGTCAAATTCTCAGAACTTTTGAAGTACGGAAGTAACGTATCCCAGTTCCAGCCTTCATTGCCAAGGGCTTCCCAAGCGTCGTACTGGGCCTTGTCTCCGCGGATGTAAGTCATTCCTTGGTAGAATCAGCTAGGATACTTTGGTTAAAGGAATGCATTAAAAAGCAAACCGGTGATGGTACCAGTAATGCCGATTGCCTTACCAGCATGGTATACGATGGTTCGGTTTCCGAGCTGTGGTTGGGGTGTAGAGATGTACTGCCAGTCGATCGAAGCATTGAAGCTAAGCGCTTGGGACCCTACGGTCGTGACATTGGGATTATCTCGCACGTCATCTCCAGGTTCGATGACTGCTACGCTGATGCCGGAGTTCTCAGAAAGCCGGTTCGCCACGACAACCTCAGCGGTGCCTGCGCCAGCAATCACGTAGTCAAACGTCTCGTTTCTGGCAAGGAAGCCCAATACGAGCAGAAGTAGACGGGAGGCTGTCCGCATGGTCATCTAGGTTCAAGATGTACTTTATTAGTGGACAAGAAAGAAGGGGGGAAGTAGTGTGTTTGGGTATATGAATTGGGCAATGCTGCTTTATATGAGTCTACGCGTTCGTTCCTAGGTGAAGATGTTGCCCTTTACACTATGAATCGGCTATTACATTATTGTCAGCCCTGCCCCTCCACAAACAGTTTCAACTCTTCAGTGACAAACAACTTCAGATTCTGGTGTGAATCACTCTGGACAATCGGATGAGGCCTTGCTTGTCCGATGAGAAAACTTGGATAAGCATGCAATGCAATGCTGATGTTGTGCTTTCTTAGTATGATCAATCGAGCCAATCACCAGGTAGGAAAGTAAGCTCTCGTCCTGAAGCGGTAAATGGTTGTTGCCGGAATAGGCAAACCGCGACAGATCGAGAGCAGTGTTCAAAGGCTGAATAACACCCGAATCGCTCGTGTGCTGCGTGATGGGTTGAGCGACTAGAATCCTAACTATTGCACATCATGCCACCTTACCTAGATTATGGTAAGCGACTCATGGAAAGAATCCGAGTGCAGGGTGAAGAGATGCGCACTGGTAATAGCTTGCGAACTGCTACAAATTCATGAAAAACTGGAATCAGTCGCGTACCACTAATGAAACTTGAAAACTCGAATATTATCTTTAGCCGAGTCATACTTGCCACGGTCTACAACTGTCTTTTGAGTTGACAGTTCCACTCGATTTGGCTCAAAGGCCCAGGCGCGACAGCTTGCTGCCACCGTCTTCCACCGTGCTCATTTTAGGAGTCTTATAGTACCCTCTGAAGCCTAGAATTCTACAGGGTCTCTAGTTTTCCCTATATCTAGAGCGGTGGTTCGGTGCCCGATTATATTGCTCCAATATGCCATACACAGCAAGCATATCTGAAGCACGACAATCCCACATACCGTGAATACGGTGACCCCCACCAGCACTGTGCCATCAAGGTCGAATTTTGGGGGCAAGGAATCGGTGTCAATTGACAGTACCCAAAGGTGAATTTGGTTACAGTCAGAAACAAGACATTCGGCTGATTATCAAACCTATGTCTATGTCAATGACCTGATTGTTCTGGGAGAATTGACCGAGAGTTCATGAGTGGGGTGTCTCAGGGTCTCGTGAGTGGAACATAATATATCGAGCCCGGGAATTAATGCAGTACTCATACACTTAGAACCTGGCTTTTCTGCACAGCCAGTTAAATTAAATGGTTAGTCACAGGGGATGTGGTCTAGTGGTATGACGTTTCCTTAGCATGCTTCGCATGGAAAAGGTTCAGGGTTCGATTCCCTGCCTCTCCAGACATTTTCTCTTTTTGCAGTCCATGATCATGTCAAACTGCTATTCAACCGCCTAAATTAAAAATTGCCGTCGGGAATGCTATCTTTTTGCCCTCCTGGCCGAGACGCTTTGAGTTTTCAGTTTAATTTGAAGCCCGCATTACGGACCCGCGGCCGGCGCTGGGATGAACCTTCAAAAACAAAGGAATACGGCCCGGATCTTAAGTATGCGGAATCACCAGGTGTTTGCTGACCCCTAGGTCGCCTTGTTGCTGAAATTCTTTATAGAAGATACTAGTCTCTAATCTCGGAGGTCCAAGTTGACCAACACTTACCAGTCCAGGGCCTGGCCTCTAAGTATTCACACGTGTCTTGCTATTGCTTTTGACGTATGGATAACATCTCTAGTGCAATATGGCACCTCTCGAGATCAGCTCTACTCTTCAGTGTCTAGGACCATGTACTTAAAGCAATCGAAAATTGCATCGATACCGTGGTACGTGTATCTATCGAACTTCAGATACTTTTTCATGTCGTTCGGATGGTGGACGTGAATCGCTGGCCGAGGAAAGTTCCCAGTTCGCGCAGCGCTTTGCTTGAGATCTCTCCCAGCTGTCGCGCCCCGCCTGGAGCGGTAGCAGATGGCACATTTTTTGGTGGATTCCAAGTCGAGCCCTTCATGCACGGATCATCTGAAACTTGTGGCGGAGAGCCCACACCAAGGGAATTTCGAAAATCCACAGCTAGACTTTTGCCCTTCTCTACGAACATCCCACCTTTGACGACCACCATTTAACGACAAAATCCCTTCACGATTGCACTGGTGAGGAATACATATCATCAGGTGAGTACTCCAAGATCTGGGACCACTGCGTCACGCAATTGAAATTGCAGATCTCGAATCATCATCGAGGCATCTGCGCGCGAAGTTTTCCCTTTCCCAATGTCGTCAAGTATCTTCACCTGAATTATCGCTAACCCAAACCTTTCACCTCCAGTAACCGCAATCATGGGTATCTCTCGCGATTCCCGTCACAAGCGATCCGCCTCCGGTGCCAAGCGCGCCTACTACCGTACGTCTCCTTGAAAACCAAAATTGAATAGGAATACATGTGCAATGGGATACATCTATCGATCAGCGAAGAGATTTGCTTGATCGCTCGAAAACCCGTATGCGTCTGTCATTAGCATAGATCATACGTTCTGACCTCAGTCAACAGGGAAGAAGCGCGTTTTCGAGTCTGGCCGACAGGAGGCCAACACCCGTATCGGCCCCAAGCGTGTCCACACTGTCCGAACCCGCGGCGGCAACCACAAGTACCGTGCCCTGCGTCTCGACTCTGGTAACTTCGCCTGGGCCTCTGAGGGCTGCACCCGCAAGACCCGTGTCATCGTCGTCGCCTACCACCCTTCCAACAACGAGCTGGTCCGAACCAACACCCTGACCAAGTCCGCCGTTGTCCAGATCGATGCCGCTCCCTTCCGTCAGTGGTACGAGGCACACTACGGCCAAGCCCTTGGTCGTCGCCGACAACAGAAGCAGGGTAAGGAGGAGGAGGTCGTGAAGAAGAGCAAGTCTGTCGAGAAGAAGCAGAGCGAGCGACACTCTGCCCAGGGCAAGGTTGAGAGTGCTTTGGAGAAGCAGTTCGAGGCTGGTCGTATATTCGCTGTTATTGCCAGCCGACCCGGCCAGAGTGGTCGCTGCGATGGATACATCCTCGAGGGCGAGGAGCTTGCTTTCTACCAGCGCAAGCTGCACCGATAAGCAGTTGGCTTTGGCTGACGCGAGGTGGCTACTGGTGGGAAAGCATGGTAGACGAACGACACGTCATTGCACTTTGGTATCGGTGTTCATGGATTTTGCTCTCTGTCTACGGCACGGAAAGGGATCATTGAGATTAGGGCCAGATCAATAAAAGATCAACCAAAAGTGCTGCCATTACACATATCACATCAACTTTTGGGCCCCAGTGAAGCCAGTCGTATTGCTCTACGAAACCCACCGTCGAATCACGAGCATAACCGAAACATGATGTTCCCCTTCGAAAGTAGTAATGTTGTATTAATGACTGGCTAGACACCTACATCAATTCATGTGCTATGTCCCATATACGTGTGCCTCCTCTGCTCTCGTCGAGCTTGTGCTCAAGATTCTCGTCACCGTGAATACTGTTCAAGGATCACAATACACGGCCAAATTCATGGGATTGGGCATGAAAATGGCTCTATTGGCCTCTAGCCAGCGAGTCGTCAGCTGGATATCTAGTTCTGCAACACTATTGGATGCTTCTCGAACAATGGCTACATTACCTTTGTCTTATCTAGCCACGATCTCCAGCTAGTACACAATGGCCAGCCACGAGAAATTGGAAAATGCCTTACTGCAATCTACTGCATTTGTGCATTTGGTTCTGGTTCAAGTTCTTATCTGTGTGGCAGATTGCTTACGTTTGAGGAAAGAAATCGAGTGCTTCAGTAAACAACGAGTCGATACGCCAGCAGTTCTCAGTCTGGCTTGCCCGCGTGTAATATGGGTATGTTTCTTCGAGAGTAATGGGGTAGTCCACTACTCGATTTTGTCACTGGCACGAGATCATCACTATAATCTTCTGGCATGCCTTGATCGGCTCCAAAATGAGAAACATTGTAGGGGAAATATGTGCGTTTCTTCGATCTTCACAGTTCTTCTTTTCTTTTCGTTCCATACCTTTGTCTTCAGTCGATCTATACAGAGGCTATTACGAACACACAGCTCATTCGAGTTCACTTGGGTCTCACAAACATATGACCATCGTCAGATTCTTGTATTGACCCTTCCTTACTAGCCCACTGGTCGTGACTATTACAAGAAGCGGGTAATGCATCGCCATCGTCTTCCTATGCCGCGCCGTATTCATCTGCGAGTCGGCCAACCTGCTAATCGAGTAGGGTACGTTCCACTACCTAAACACACCTGAACGGCGTCCGTCTTCCTTCACCTTCTTCTACTACTTACTGCAAATCTTTATACAGTATTGCCTTACAGAGCGAGACGCCTCTGGTCACTGTTATCCATCGTCATACTCATACTTGAAGAGCCAAAGCACCCTACTGAAGTGGCCCGTATCTCAGGCCATCACCCTGTTGCCATATTATACGCACTTCATCTGACGCCAATCAACGGAGTATGCTGCTGCGTGGAAGCAGATCATAAGCGAGCAAGTTTAGCGTCCGACCTCCTGGACGTTGTTTCGTCGTGAATTAGCCTGGCTTTTCATGGTTAAATATGTGCATGTCGGTGTCAACGATTAGCTCCAAAACCATAGGTTCCACGGTTCTACGTGCGCTGACCACACTTTATATTGGCCGGTGCTTTAAAATCTAAACACTGAAGAGCAGATTAGTCTTCACCCGAAAACTGCTTCGTCAACAGAGATGATCAACTTTCTGATCCAGCTCCCCGGCTAGTCGAAGTTATGAGCCTAGAAAGAGACGCCCTCTTAGCGAGTATGAGTAACGACGAGATTGCAGACGCCATCATGGACAGTGACGATCACAGGATAGTGAGGTGGCGTCTCAACCACGAGAGGGCGAAAGACTAGCATTCTACCCGTATGGACGCTAGGCTTCTTCTACCTTGATGTCGACCATCAGGCACACGGAGTGATTGGTAGAACCTCCTAAAGTCGTTTTTGAACTGGTTATACTATATACGGATGACATGAGCTTGACAGTGATACTATCATGGATTTCTTGGGCATCTACTAGATATCTTTGGTTATATTGTGCTATACATAACTACTATCCGTAGACAGATCATTTTCATTCTGAGATTCGATATGACTTTTCGGTCAGTCGACGAATTCGGTATGGCGACCACAGACGATGGGGTAGAGGCCATGGATATTATGATCTCCGCATCAATGTACCGTCTTGAATCCCCCATCAATACCTCGACGAAGCATGATCCGGTGGGGGCGCAGAGATACCCCCTTTTACCAACCCCTGGTGCCACCTATACGTCGCCTACGGTCATTCCATTGCCATCCCGGTCGCAGCACTATTGACCTAACGGCGCATAGTACTTAGACAACAGCAACAGCAAGGCAATTTCGTAGGCTGATTTGCTCGTCCATAGGGAGACGATCCTGGGCCTCTTCCCACTCTCAGCGCCGACACCAAGCTGCCCACGACCTCCATTACTACCGCTGTATGGAATCACACAACCCTCAACCAGCGGCGAGCACCTGTTGCAGCTATGACGAGTGTGCCAGCTTACTATCGCTTCCATCTATCAAGTCTAGTATTGTCTGCGACGATGCCGAGATCGTCGAGGGGAAGGCATAAGAAGATGGAAGCGGCGGCTCGCGTGTCCTTGAGCCGGAGGGTGACCCAGGCCTGTGTGCTCTCGACGAACAGGAGGATGGTGGTGAGAGTCAAGGGGCTAGGCGTTCTCGATATCGCTTAACTGGAATTCTGCTTGCGCTGGTGTAGACATTGAAGGATGCTCGCAGGTTCAGAGTGCTTACCTGCCTTAATGACATGCAATAGGCAAGCCTTCAGAAAGAACTGATCGTTTGGCTTATGTGATTGGGAAGAGTAAAGATGGCAGTGCTCATTTGCTCGCGCAGTTGAGCCTGAGGGCTGATATCATCCAGTTCTCCTCTACCCGTATGACATCGTTCAGACTTTTTCTCACCACTGCCAACCATGCTGTCTAGTTGAGATCAATCAATGCAGTAGACGGAGAAAGCTGTATGGTCATGCATTATATTGGTAGTCATTACTCTTCCCTCTGCCATCCCCCTTACTCGGCTCCTGAACTATGATCTGTACAATACATTCATGGGCGGCACGTTGCTATGAACCTTTGCATGCCCGCCCAGCCTTTTGGCGTCCCTCCCCCATGAAACGCTTAGTTGAGTCCCTCATCTCCTTCTTTCCATCTATACCCTTGGCAGATACAAGAAAAGGCAAGCAAGATCTCCTTCAGGCCAGCTGTGATTACTACTTTACCAACTGAACGCCTGGCGAGCTTGAGC